TGCAAACCATGCAACCCCCTTGTGCTAGTTTCCTGTGCATGTTATATACATGTACACATTATTTACATGGCCAAATTTTATGTGAAAATGTAGTACTGGAAGGCTAAAAAGAATTCTGCATTAATTTTAGATGTACCAACTGTCTATTTACCACATACCACCTAATGTTTATATGAGAAAGCAAACCATTTCAGCATGTAGAGGCCAATTTATGGTACAAAGAACTAATACTCTAAATGGGTACCACCTAGCATTTATTTCTAAAGTACCTAGAAACTGGATTGAAATGCCCAGTGGAAATAGTCTTGTGTCTTGTACTTTAAAAGGTTAAAATATCTAGGTTTTATTTTAAAGGATTAAATATGATTAACACCTATTATAGAATTTAAAATGCTTCTGTAGCTTCTGTCATTATGTTGTTGTTGTTACGTGCCGTCGAGTTGGCCCCAACTCATAGCGACCCCTCCTTGGGTTTCCGAGGCAGTATCACTACAGAAGTAGAATTGCCCAACCTTCCTTCTGAGGAGTGGCTGATGGGTTTGAACCACCAGCCTTCTGGTTAGCAGTCAATGCCTTAGGCACTATGCTACTAGAGATCCTTTTGTCATTATAGCCACATTAAATACAAATGTATTAAAAAACAGCATTAGAAAAGCTTTTATTTAAGAACATAGTATTAGACCCTGTTCAGATCTATTGGCATATCTCTCATAGGTCAAATATGCAGCAATGCCAGAGTAGCTAAGTTAACCTGCAAACAAAACCATAAAGAAGTACAAAAGGAGCAAGTACAAATTCAATGTAAGAACATGTTGTCCCAAATCAACTACATGCTAGGGGGGGCACTTCTTAAAAATTGTTCTTGCTAAACTATAAATTTCTGACCAGACTATTTTTAAAGCAAAAACACTGAAAAAATAATTCAAGACAATAAAAATGAAACCTATAATCCAGGTGATTTTACACATGCCTTTCGCTGTAGAAATGTTGTGGTGTGCCACTGAGTCCATTCTGACTCATAGCAACCCCAAAGGGCAGAGTAGAACCGCCCCATAGGGTTTCCAAGGTTGTAAATTACGGAAGCTGACTGCCACATCTTTCTCCAGAGTGGTTGGTGGGTTCAAACCACCAACCTTTTGGTTAGCAGCTGAGTGCTTAACCATTGCACCACCAGGACTTAAATTCCTTGGTTGGGAAAACCAAAATCATGTTGCTAAGTTGTAGTTTATAGTTTTTGTTGGTATTTTGTTTGAATTTGAAATCCCCCATATTACCCATTCCAGAACCAGGATTACAACTAAATGTACCTTAAATTGAGTATCTCATGTTGGAACTTGTACTTGCTTCATTATTTTTTAATGGCAATAACATGTATTAGCATTACAGAGTCTGATATCCGACATAACTTTTTCTTCTGCCAATTAGGTAAGCAATCACTATAACGATAATCAAGCCTGAAAGACCAGCACCAACTATAATTGGTATTAGAATGGTGTCATCATCCAGCGAACACTCCTGGGCTGTAGATGAGAAAAAGTGTGTAACAAATAATGAGTATAAGCAAAAAATAATGTCCAAAAGTAAAAGATGTTGACTCAAAAGTCAGAAATTCTCTTAGAAGAGCAATTTTAGGTAACTAAGACAGGTCTACTTTCATGATAAGGCTACAGAAAATTATGGATTATTTTATAAGTAAAACCCTAAAATATATCTGTCCTTTTGTTTATGTATGTGCATATGCATGTACAGATATTCGCATATATATGAATACAGTTTATATTATAGTGTATATACATATACATGTGTATATATTTATGTTACAAATTTTTTTCAAAATAGGAGCATTACTTCATCAAAAAATAAGGAACTAACCCAGCCCATTTCTCCACAGCCTCTCAGCAGTAGGGTAAATGTTGTTTAGGAAAATGGAACCCATCAAGAAGGTATCATGGGATCAGAACAGCCAGGTTGGCCCTGGAGTTCGTGTAGAGCAGGAGTCAGCAAACTATAGCCCATGGGGGCAGGGCCAACCCAGCCCAAGAGCTACAAATGGTTCTTATATTTTCAAATGGCTCCAAAAAAAAATCAATAAAAAGAAGACTACTTTGTGACACATGAAAATTATATGAAATTCAGATTTCGGTATCCATAAATGACATTTTATTGCTGAGGTATTGCCAATGGCTGTTTTTGTGCTACAATGGTAGAGGGTTAAATGATTCTGACAAAAACTGTATGGCTACAAAGCCGAAAATATTTACTGTCTGGGCTTTTGCAGGAAAAAAGTATGCAGATCTCTGACTTAAGAGTATACAAAAGTCACAAACTGATTTACATTTCTTATCAATCTGGTCAGGGCTGGCAGTCTGTAGACGTTTGTTTCCATTTCTACCCAATACTCTGATCCAGTGAAATCCAATCAACATTCTTCTACCTAACTACAATTCTATTTACTCCCGCTACACAGTCAAGTATTGTGTTTATAGGTACCTACAGCCAAGAACCTAGTTCCACAAATAGCTTGTGCATTCATTATTAGTGTTAAATGTTATATACCCCTCCTTTGAGTGATATTTACATACATGAACATCAAAGTTTCAAATTAGAGAAAGAACACAGCTCATCTCTGTTAAGGATCATAACGTAAACAGGCTTGAACTGATATTAACACTACAAATGACTTTCAATTCTAAACATAAAATTAGTCCCAAAGTAAGGGTGATAATGTAAGGGAGGCTAGATAAAGACTCCCAAAATAAAGCCATTAAAGGATCAAGGTAATTGAAGTATATAAGCAAAACTAAAAAAAGAGAAAATGAATGCTGGAAAGTATTTTTGTAGTGTGATTAACCTATCAAGTCACAAAAATGATAGGGTGAAGAGCCTGATGTTTTCAGCCTAACCGACTCCGACTAGGTAATCAGAACTACTACAAAAGCAGTGGAATAGCTCACAACATATTCTCTTTTTAAACCTCACTTCCACATTTCCTCCTAAACCCTAGAGTTCAATTGTAAAGAAGGCTGTGGAATAGCTCTACTCGACAGAGCTGTAATCCACAAACATCCTATTTTTGGTCATCAGTTTAAAATGTCAAGTAAATAAAGGAATTTTTCTGTACTTTATTTCTTCTGAGGGGGCTCTGGTGGCATAGTAAGTCATTTGGCTGCTAACCAAAAGGCCAGTGTTTCAAACCCACCAGCCATTCTGCAGGAGAAAGATGAGGCAATCCACTTCTGTAAAGATTTATAGCCTTAGAAACCCTGTGGAGCAGTTCAGTGTTGTCCTGTGGAGTCACTATGAGTTGGAATCGACTCGATGACAATGTGTCTTATTTCTTCATGTAAATTCTAATCTTGGAATGTCAAATATATCTTTTGTACAGATATAAAAATTACAATGACCCCTTTGGTAAGGGCTTCATAAAAAACCTGATAAATACCACCATTAGCCCTGGGGAGATCTTTAAACAGCCTCATCATTCACACAGCATTTATCTACTAAAACTCTCTAGATTATTTTATCTAGAAAAAATATAGTTCATGACATTTGAGGGCTTTGCTACCATTCTAACTTTAGTCTTAAGACCAAATTGTTTCATTGAGTGAAAATATTTCCAGGCAGAAGATGGCACCAAGAAAGCACATGCAAAATGCTCACTCCTACTGCTCCCAGGTGTCCTCTGTATCATGAAAGAGAAAAAGAAAACCTAGGGGGAGCATCTCCAGTTTATGCAAAGCTCACTTAAAATTTCCATGAGATTTTAGCTTTAAGAATTTTGTCACAAATGGTTCACCAAAAAAAAAAAAAAAAATCTATTCTGAACAAAATGATGAGCCAAATTTAAGGATTATTTGTAGATACCAAGGACTAGAGTTACACAACTTGTCCAAGGCTATGAGAAATTTACAGCAGAGTGAAGAGCTGAATTCATAGTCTCAATTTCAATGTTTAAATTCCCAGGACTCAAATGAAAAGCCACTTATCAGTCAACATAAGAACAGAAATTAATAAAATGCACCTGATTCTTACCTGTGGAATACTTTCCTTCCATCACATTGAAAGGCTGAACCCTTAGATCAAAGGTATTTATCTGAAATGTTCCAGATACCAAAAGCGTCTGCTCTTTGTTGCACATATAAGAACTTCCCAGTGGGGCGCCCCAGTAGCTAAGATTGTTGTTTACAAAACTGAAAACTTTAAAGAAAGGAACAGGTTAGTAAATTCTTTTTCCTATAAACATCAAAAATAGGATAGCCCTCGCAATTTTATAATTAAATGTGAGAGTTTAGGGTACAGGATCTATCTACAAAAAGCAATTCTTACTATTACTAGGTTCCTTATGTTTCTACAAATATTTTATAGTCTAAAATAAGTAACATCTTATCCACCATACTTTGAAAAGATATGATACTGTAAAAATAGAGCACCCTAGTTCTAAGTTATTAATTTTAAATTGTGGCTAAGATACAATTTTTACACAGAATCATCTGTCCCATTAAATAAGACATTATTTGGTAACAAGACAATTATGGTATTCGTCCAATCTAACCTATATTCTTCTCCCCAGGCTGATGCTTACCAGAGCCATTTCCCAAATTCATGCTGATATTCACTTCCTTCAGGTAGAACTGGTTTTCATTTTTCTGTTTAAAAAAGAGCTTCCAGTTAATATAGCACAACTGTCTAACAAACCAAACCAAACCAAATTCACTGTCATGTCGGATCCAACTTGCGGCAACCCTTCCTTGGGTTTCTGAGGCAGTATCACTACGGAAGTAGACTGCCCAACCTTCCTTCCGAGGAGTGGCTGGTGGGTTTGAACTGCCAGTCTTCTGGTTAGCAGTCAAATGCCTTAGGCACTACACCACCAGAGCTCCTGGTACAGCTAATATATACAGAAAAAAGCAAGCTAATACTATTACCACATGAAAGATGAAACCATGGATTAGACCTGGGCCAGCAGAAAAAACTGCAACTAAGTAAAGAACTCAAAAGGTGATCACAACCCTTTTCCTGTACATTTAGTTTCTGGTTTTTGGACCCCAGCTGTAGTCATGTGATTCTTGAATACTCAGCAAATTTATTTCCTCAACTGTACTTCTATTAGTTACTTCTGAGCCCGTTCCCACCAGCCTGGATCACAACAGCCTCTCTTCACTGGTCTCATTACAATTCAGATGCTCCAGCTCTCATCTCTCCTTCTCATTGCTATGAGTTATCTTTCTGAAGCACTCATCTGATAAGCCCCCACACACACACATACACAAAAAACTCACTGCCATTGACTCATTCGACTCATAGCAACCCTACAGGACAGAGTAGAACTGCCCCCACAGGCTGTCATCTTTACGGAAGCAGACTGTCACATCTTTCTCCTGCAGAGCGGCTGGTCAATTCAACCTCTAACCTTTTGGTTAGCACCTGAGAGCTTTAACCACTGTGTCACCAGGGCTCCTAATATGATCTGCAGTCATTCAAATTATTGAAAGCTTACTACATTCATGGAAACATGTTTCAGTGCTCCAGAGAGCTAGCAAAATGAATTCAACTTGGATCCTGCTCTCACCATGTTTGCAACCTGCCCAAGAAGATAAAATACATAACTATATGGCAAAAAATGAAGAAAAGATTGAAGCAGTCAAGAATCTCATTTTACGTGGATCTACAATAAATGTCCATGGAAGTAGCAGACAAGAATCAGGTATTATATTCCACTGGGCAAATCTGCTGCAAAAGATCTCTTTAAAATATTGAAGAGCAAATGTGCCATTCTGAAGACTAAGATGCACCTAACCCAAGCCATGGTATTTGCAATTGGCTCATGTGCATATGAAATCTGCACAATGAGTAAGGAAGGCTGGAGAATTGACGCATTCGAATTGTGGTGCTGGTGAAGAATACTGAAAATACCATGGACTGCCAGAAGAACGAACAAATCTATCTTGGACAAAGTATAGCTGGAATGCTCCTTAGAAGTGAGAATAGTCAGACTTCATCTAAGAACCGTTGTCAGAAGGGACTAGTCCCTGGAGAAGGGTATCATGCTTGGTAAAATAGAGGGTCAGGAAAAAAAAAAGGAAGACCCTCAATGAGATGGACTGACACAGTGGCTGAGATGATGGGCTCAACCATAGCAAATATTGTGAGGATGGCAGAGGACTGGGTTGTGTTTCACTGTGTTGCACATACGGTCACTATGAGTCAGAACTGACTCAACAGCACCTAACAACAAAAACACTGCAAAACAGAAAGTGACAAGTTATGAAAATTAATAGGAAAGTTATGAAAAATAGGAATTAATAGGAAAATTAATAGGAAATTACTCGTAACTAGGGAAGTAGCAAAAGTAATGCAAGCTTAGGGATGGGGGCATTTGATGTGGGCAGGATTCAGTTAGGAAACAAGTGGAAAGGGGGCATTCGAAAAGGCAACAGCATGAGCAAAGGCAGTTAGAAAATCAGCATACTCACAAGATGACAGCATTTACTGAGAACTTACTAAATGTCAAACACTATTCTTTAAGCTTTACATATAAAGCATCATTAGATGCAACACCCCTATACAGTAAGTGCTGTGCTCTGAAATAGGGTAATGGAAGCACTGAGGTAACTTCCCTTAAAGGTATATACTACAATTAGTAAGCAGGTACTGGCCTGGGATTTGAGCCCAGGAATTCTGGCTGCAGAGCCTAAGGACTGGTTACACTGTGCTCTTCTGCCTCACAGGATGTGCATAGGAGACAGTGGGATGGAAGCATAAGATTCATGAAGAGAAAGCAAAGGAAACAAAGGCTGGAGATGCAGGTTTACACTGAATGGTGGGGCTGGATTTGAACTATTCCCCTGCTGTGGAGTTTAGATGTTACCAGTAGCTAACACAGAATGGCTGTGCTTTAGGAAGACTAAGCTGATGCAGAAGAAGGTTAGGGTAAGGGAGGGATAGAAGAGGCTAGTTAGAAGGCTGTTTGAATAGTCCAGGAAAAAGATGATACAACCTACAACCACGGCAGAGGCAGTGAGGAATGAAAACAAAAGGACAGACTCAAAAGAAATTTCAGAGGGAAGCATAAAGGAGGATTTGTCAACCTTACCATCTTCCTCTGCTTAGGCTATGTCTAGGCTTGGCATTCAAAGCTCCCCACATTTTGTCCCAACTACATTCCCATACTAACCTTTCACTAAGTGTGCCGCATGCCTCATTCTCCCAGCTGTACTAGATTGCATCCCTTTATCCAAGGAAAACCTGTATTTTTCCACTCCTCCTCTTACCTCCTCTTACCCATCCTTGAAGGTCCAGCTCAGATACCATACCTTCTAGTAAACCTTCCTGACTCTCCTCCAGCAAGAATGAACTGCTCCCTCCTCCATTCTCCCATAGCACTTGGTTTTTTTAACTCTGGTACAGCATTCATCCCACTTTTACATGCTGTCCACCACACTCTATTGCCTAAAGAATCAAGTTCAAAAGCTTTAGCAAGGCATTCAAAGCCTTCCACACACACACACACACACACACACACAAAAGGTTTAAAAAAAAAGTCATCCATTTCTACCTTTACACTGAATTTTGGGCACCTTAAGAACACAGGTGCACAGGCCAGGTATGAAACATGTAACTAAACACATCTACTTTTTATATATCAGATGTTGATACTATTTCTCTATTCCCAGATAAAGTAATCTGATTTAAAAGCAGAAATATTTTTCCTCCATTTATACAGAAACTCCTGAGAAACTGCTTTACATTGACAGTCCTCAACATTCCCCCCAAATATAGTTGAAGAGCCAAGCTCTGAAGTACTGATTTTCATATTCATACTTGCTGAAACATGAATACACATATGCCTCTCATAACAAAATTATGGTGATAATAATTGCTTATGAGAAGGTAGGAATAAAGGTCTCTGGTGATTGGTAGCATAGTGCCTAAGGCACTTGACTGCTAACCAGAAGGCTGGCAGTTCAAACCCACCAGCCACTCCTTGGAAGGAAGATGGGGCAATCTACTTCCGTAGTGATACTGCCTTGGAAACCCAAGGAGGGGTCGCTGTGAGTCGGTTCCGACTTGACAGCACATAACAACAACAACAGCAAGAATTAGAATAGAACTTGGAACTTTCTGTTGAGGGTTCAGCCCTTGATGTAAGCATGAACCATAAAACATGCATGTTGGTTTAATGAGTTACCGCATATAAAATATTTAGTAGGGCCTAAGCTATTTGACTGCTAACCAGAAGCCTGGCAGTTCAAATCCACCAGCCACTCCTCAGAAGGAAGACTGGGCAATCTACTTTCGTAGAGATACCGCCTCAGAAACCCAAGGAGGGGTGGCTATGAGTTGAACTGACTTAAAGGCAGTGAGCTTGGTTTGTTTTGGAGTTAAAGCCTCCAAAAGGTGGTCTAAAGGATTAGAGGACAGTAGCTCTAACAATGGGCTCAGGTATATAGCAAGGATTGTGAGGCTGCACAGAACCAGGTCAGTGTCTCGTTTTGTTGTACATGGGGACACTATGAATTGGCAGCAACTCAAGAGCACCTAACAACAACAGCATTAGAGGACAAACATGAAATTCTTCTAACCAATAAAAAAGAAAAACACTAATGAAATTACTTGCATATGTCTAGCTTACATATATTTATTGCTTTTTTGATGTGGTTAAATTTTTGCTCCTACTTTAAAGTCTATATAATAGCAGTATGGCCACTCTGTTTTTTAAAATTTTTATTTTGTTGTTACTGTTGAGAACATACACAGCAAAACATACACCAATTAAACAGCTACTAACGTGCAATTTAGTGACTCGTCAAGTTGTGCAACCATTCTCACTCTCCTTTCCTGAGCGGTTCCTTCCTGCATTAACTTACACTCACTGACCCCTAAGGTTCCTATCTAATCTTTTGAATTGTTGCCGTCAGTTTGATCCTATATAAATAGATCATAAAGGACACAGTGATCAAGGCAGACATTCTTTACTAGCTAAGCCAAACTATTATTTGGTTTTGAAAAGACTTCAGAGGGATATTTTTGGTTGAAGGTTTAAAGATTCTCGCAGGGCAATACTTTCAATGGTTCATCCAACCTTTATGGCTCCAAGAAGTCTGGTGTGCATGACAATTTGGAATTATGTTCTTTAGTTTCCCGCTTTTGATGAGTATTATTCTATATAATCTTTGATCAAAATACTCAGTAATGGTACCCAGGCGCCATCCAGTTCTTCTGGTCTCATAGCAAAGAAAACAGTTGTTTATGGAGACAACTAACCACATATTCCATATCCTTCTATTCCTGACTCTTTCTTCCTCTGTTGCCCCAGGTGAATAGAGACCAATTGTTGTGCCTTGGATGGGGCACGCCACTCCTGATGAGCATTAATGTAAGAGTCTAGTCCACAGATCTCTAAGGAGACCCTGAAGGATAAACAGGGATCAATGTTCATAATTTAGTGCTGAAATGGAAAATAAAGCCAAATACTCCCCACAATTCTTCAAAGTTTCAGATGTGTTTGCAAGAGAAGGAACCAAATTTTAGAAAATTATGTTACTCACCACAGCAAAGACAAAGTCAAGATAGTTGATGTTGCTGCTATTCAACCTAAGTAGTGCAGTTTGAGGATGACAGCTGCCAGTGAAGTCAGTTGTGTTGGGGTTGATGTTAATAACTGAAACAGTCTTTGGGGAAGAAGAGGAAGGCAACATACAGATTACAATAAAAGCCTACAGCAAAACCTTATACTCTAATAATACCAAGTTCAGTATAGAATAAAAAAAAATCCTTTGCTGGATTCTTAAATTTATGGCATCTTACTTTCAAACAAAGCTGGCATAGACCCTCACAAGCTATGATTCAGAACACTGATTTAAAAAAAAAAAATTAGAAGGAAGCTTCCTCAATAATGAGCCAAAGGAAAACATACAAGAGCCAACTGTCTAGCTTGTTTAAGTCACAGCAAGCACCCTGGCAATGGGATTTGTTTGTTGGTACTCCCTCTGTAGCCTCAGTGGAATATTGCAGCTAGAAGTAAGGGCCGTTATGTACTTGAGCATGTCTATTCAATCCAAGCTGCAGCAACAGATAGCTACACTGTCCCCATACATAAACCTACAGTGCATTTCAAATAAAAGTCTGAAAGAATTAGATTTAAAATGGACCAAAATAAAGATCAAGTATTTGTATTCATTTTACTTTTCATAGTATTTTACTGTTTTCAGTGAAAGTTTACACAGCAAATTAGGTTTTACGGAAGTTATTCAGTGACATGAGTTAACAAAATGTGTCAACAATCTCTTTCTTGTTGTTCTGTTTCCAGAACTCTAGTTTCCCTGCCCTCCTGTCTCCTCTTCTTTGCTTTAGAGTAATTGTTAACCTTTAGGTTTCATACAGATGGCTTTTCTTTTTTTTTTTTTT